CTAGGCCCCTTGGGAATCTTTCTTAGCCCTGGGGCTAACCTCTCCTCTACCAGGATGACGAGAGGCTGCAGTCTACAGGGTATTTACAGAACCATTCTCTTTGCCTCTGTGCTCTATAGGGGCAAGCAGTCCTGTTCCAATAGCTGGGCTGATAATCAGGGTTCAGTAAGCATAAGGCTACACTGCCTCTGGACCTTCTTCTTCTTCCTCCACTTTCTCACCTACATCAGCCAGTAACCGATGCACTTGTGCCATTTCTCATCCTGCTCCACCCTCTCACCCTTTTGCAATCTCTTAATTCATAGTTTGGTGTAGGATGCAGTTTGACCCCAAATCCATCTCATCCCAGCTATCCCCAACACATATGCTGATCCTCTTTTCATTTGTAATGACTTTTACTATTAGTCGCACTAGAGAAAGAAACAGGGGTGGCAGAAATAACAAGTGTTCTTAACGTATGAATGTTAACTGAGGTAAACTATGAGTTACTAAGCACAGTGTGTCACACAGCAGTATTCAGCACAGCCTACATTTACTAAGCATTTACTATACACCATTAATATAGGCCCTGGACCAGGGGCTTGAAATAAAACAATGAACAAAACAGACATCACTCCTGACCTCATGGAATCTACTGGTGGTGAAAGATGTTATACAAATAATTTGATATAAAACTGTTTAAAAATAAATATGATAAACCATAAAGGAAACATACAGTGAGTAATCAGAGGTTATAATGGTAGAGGTGGAAGTTATAATGGTGGACGTTGGGAAATCTGGACCCAGTCAGGGGAAGCTTCTCTTTGGAAGGGATATTTACCTGATATATGATTAATAAGTTGAAATTTATCAGGAAACTCCAATTTGTCAACACACACTCATGACCGTTCTCTAAATCCTGTTATTTCTGGACCCAGAATGGACTCCCTCTCTGAGTTTTTACACATTTAAATTCTGATCTTCTAGTTCGTTCCTTCAACCATAAACACCCATTGCCCTCAAGTTGACTCCAACTCATAGCAGCCCTATAGAACAGAGTAGTTACAAAAGCAGACTGACGTATCTTCCCTCCACAGAACAACTGATGGGTTCAAACCACCCACCTTTCAATTAGCAGCTGCACACTTAACCTCTGCACCACCAGAACACCTTACTTTGACCACACATATACTTAAAACTCATTGATATCTCTACTTCCTTGAGTCTCTTATTCTACCTGCAATAGAATGCATTAAGAATTAGGGAAAGAATTAAAATAAGCTTACAGGGGGGTGTACTTTATTTGGCTAGTATCTTAGGCTAGGTTCTCCAGAGAAGCAAAATCAGTGAAATTTATAGAGGGAGAAAGAAATTTATCTCAGGGAAATAGCTCACACAGTTGTAGAGGCTGGCAAGTCCCAAGGTCATGGGTCAAATGTCAAGCTGAAGGCTTTTCCTGGCTCACGCAGCTGCAGGGGATGATGAACTCAAGATTGACAGGCAGTGTAGCAGGCTTCTGCCTTCAGTGGATGATGAAACCAGGATCAGCAGGCAAAATGGCCAATTACTGGCTCACAGGCTATGAAGGCAGAAATCCCAAGATTAGCAGCTTGTAAGGCAGGCCACTGGATCAGCTCTAAAAACCAGATGATGATAATCTAGATGCAGGATCCAGATCCAACTGAAAGCCCAAAACATTTCCCAAGGCGTCCATATATGTACTGGAAGCAGACCACACCCCTGAAGGAACTCCCTTTCAACTGAATGGCATGGCTGTCTGCTTATAGCTCGTCTCATCATGGAGGTGAGTACCTTACATCAGATCTCTTCATGGGAATGACTATATCACAACTGCTTAAACCACTTCGAATCTTGGTCCAGCCAAGTTGACAGACAACCTTAACTATCACAGCTGGGGTATAAAGATCTCGAGTCACTCTTCCTCAGATTCAGAGTTTGAAAGAACAAAACAGACTTTTTTGAACTTGTTGGTAGCAGTGAACCAGAGCAAAGGGACAATAAAGCTATCATCTTCATGTTCCATGTGTAAAATGCCATAAGGAGAGATGCTACTTA